ATTATTATTATTATTATTATTATTATTATTATTATTATTATTATTATTATTATTTATTATTTATTATTATTATTATTGTATTTATTTTAAATAACCTTAGACTCATTGATTATTTTATTAATTCATATTTTGGATTGGTCTCTCTTTATTCTAGGAAGATAAAGGATAAACCTGCAGATTCAATTCGTTGAAGAGGAGTACACACTCATCATACCTACATATCGTGTACATGCTCAAACGCATAACGAATCTCGCATTATCCTATTATCATTACGAAACATAATATAGAAATAATAAATGAAGCTCCGGTCCAGCTCATTCATTAGAGGTCGGAGCAAGAGTATTACTTCACGTCACTTCACATCAAATTACGCATGCACGCACCCCCTCTTCCGCCTGTTAATAATAAATTAGGAAAAAATGAAATGATAAATCATAAATCAAAAAATAAATTGGGCTTGAATGTATAAAAATATGCAAATAATAAAATTAATTTTGTTCATTATGTCCGACTCGGTTCATACTAATAAGTTCATCGTCCCCCATCCGGAGATAAAGGATTTTTCCTCTCTTAATTTTATGAGAAATATCGAATGATTTCTTTCGAGATCACAGTTGGACTAAATGAAAATCTAAAATATATACGTGTATATTATGAATGAGTACTTTATAGTTTATCCAATAAATTACTCCAAACCTGCCTTTTTCACATTATAAATAAGCAAAAAAAAAAAAAAAAAAAACGAGTTTTCTGCTTCACCCCGCAAAAATCTCAGCAGGTACCTTTTTTTCCATTATCTTCACCGTTAACATAATCACAATCAGCATAATCTCCCCACAAAAATCGAGATCCAACCATTCAATAAGTCAAGTTTCCCTGTCGATTCAATAGAGATAGCTGGTTATTCTGTTCTGTAGGCGATTAGTAAGAGTTGTTCTTATCGGTACCTTCTATATTTGTTATGTATTTAAAATTTTTAATGAATTTATATTTATTCAAACCTAAAGTTTTTCATGCACCCCACCATTCATGAGTTGAGTTGAACAGTTTATTGGGATTATCGGACTAAAAAAATAGATATACATGTTTACCATCATCACTATCACCTGCATTATGAAGCATCATGAAAAAATAGCAAAGCTGCATGTAATAATATGAACTTTTGGAGTAGGTCATCATTAAAAAATTTAAAATTTTGAAACTCGAAATTTTTATTTCAGCTTTTAAATGCATGTACTTTACAAGTATTTTTCCATTCGGCCTAATGATTATTCTCCATTGTTGTGGAAGTGTATGCGTTTCAAAGGAAGTAAAAGTATACGTGTGTGTGTGTGTGTGTGTGTGTGTGTGTGTGTGGTATGCGTCTCCGATTTTCTAGAGAATTTGCATACAATGAATTATTAGTAACGAACTGTTATTATCGTCATCCATTCATGAACTCAATTAGCATAATAAACATTACAATACCTAAAAATAAATAATAAGTTTCTCTTATTTTCCTTTTTAGTAATTAAGAAACATTTAAGAAAAATTTATTTAATAAAAAGGTAGCAACACATATGCGTGTAATGTGATGCTGTGTAGTGTTGTTTTTTGTTGCGGGGGGGGGGGGGAATAATCATTATGATAGTTTCTGGTGAATGTTTGAAAATTTTGATTCAAATCAATCACCATACAACACTAATAATACAAATTTACGCAACGCACACACTCATCATCGTCATCGTCATCATAACAATGATATAATAATTATTATTCAAAAAAGAAATTGTTTATTTTTGACTATCATTTAAAATTTATCATACGCGTAATAACAACAAGGAGGCCGATGACCTTCACTCATCTCCACTCACTTTTCCTACGTATTTTTTTTTTTGATCCGCTAATTGACGTCAAAAAAAGGAATAGAATGGATCGACACATCTAAAAGTAATAATAAATAATTAATAATGATGATTATGAATCCTTTCGTTACCTTCGATCGTGTCGTGTGTAAATTTTTTTTTGAGACATATGACATATAACAAATTGAATTTATGTCTCAAAAAAGATCGCGGGGATAAAGTTTCCCCTTAATTATCTGTCTCATCATAATCATCAATAAAGATATTCCTTCTTTTTTTTTCTGCACGCAAAAAATTACGTGAGAATAAAAACCTAAAAATGAATTGATCGCTTTAAAGAATTTATCTTATGTACATATACGTGCAAACACTACGCGTGAAAAATGCAAGTTAATTGGTAGATTCGATCTAAAACTAAGCTAAAATCCTACATCCGATCCATCCTTTCATCAAATTATCTCGCCAAAATTAATATAATCAAAATCATACCTATCTATTAATTTCTACTTTTATGTTCCTATGTCTATCCAGACACATTAGGGCATAAATTTACATAAATTATTATCCTCTTCCCCGTATTTTTCTCTCCTTTAGATAGATAACATTTAATTCTCTTGTTTCGACAAATTTTCATTGTCGTGTAAAAGCATAAAAAAAAGAAAATTCCGGTGACATTAACGAATCCCATTCCATTCAAGATAGTTACGTGAATTCATCCATCCTCTCATTCATTGTTCAATTCAAACTTCGATTGAGTTAACTAAAACGTACTCAAATCAAAACAAATATACATAGACGAGGATTTTAAAGTAAGTTTACACATATTAAAAAAAATTATTAAAGGATAGCGAGTGATATATGGGAAGATATCACAGGATAAAGTAAAATAGTAATATAAAAAAAGACAATAGAATATAATGACGTACATGAAAAAAATTTTTTTTTATTTCCAACTTTATTTAAATATATACACTACTAATTATTTACTTTTATTATTATTAGTATTATTATTATTATTATTATTATTCTTATTCTTTAGTATTACTTTTCGCTGCTTGTCTTACCACTGTAATATTTATTATATATAGCCTCGAACATTAAAACCAAAAAAAAATTAAATCAACAAAATTTTGATTTCTTTTATTTATTGTTTCTTCTAGAAATTTATACTAAAACTAATTTATTACATCAACTATCGGCGCCACCTTACTCAATTAACGTTATCCCAAAAAATTCGCCGGCACCTTAGCAAAATCGATCGTTTTAATATAAACCAATTTTCGTATTAAACATTACGTCTGGTCAGACCTATATTATCTTTCATTCCTCCAAAAAATTTTTTCAATTTACGTCTGGCACGTTCTGTAAATTAAAACCATCATATATCACACATAAATATTATATACTTTAAACTAAAAATTTATATAGCACATAATAATAATAATAAGTACCGCTTTATTTTTATTGTGACACAACCAAAACGATATATATACCCAAAGAATCATTTTTCCCTTCACAGCACTTTGCTCCTATTTACTTTAAAGGTTTATCTAAACCTCCTATTAACGACCACTTGTATATATATACCCGAAGCAAACACAAAAATTTATTTCTTCCCCACTTATTAATATTAGTAACGATTTTAAAAAAGAAAACACCACTTCAAAACAACTACTAAAAAAAACACGCACACACTTTTTACTTTTCTCAAAATACAATAATGGCCTCCACTTCAGTTCGGTAAGTAAAAATTATATTTCACTTATTCTCTCTGCCCTTACGTATATTGCTCCGCACTTTTGTTCTTATTGTGCCGGTGTGCAACCATACTATATACGAAACACACCTATTTTTTTGTGTCACCACACCCACAAATAACGACTAGTAACCTTTTTTCCCTCAACCCATATACTATTCCTCTCATCTTGCTCATTTCAAAACACCAACCTCCGAATAATATGACAAAAAATAATGTTAACCATCCATCTGCTTCGCAATTTAATACAATAGAGTCGCTTTGCGAGTTCGTCCGATGAATAAACATGAAATTCATATCGATTCCCAAAATTGCGTCACGCTAATACCGGACGCACCACAAATAATGATTGGATCTGAACGTTCCTTCACCTACGATTATGTCTACTCGGCCGATACCGCACAAGAGGATGTTTTTGGCTCTTGTGCCAGACCTTTAGTTGACAAATTAATAGAAGGGTAAGTCATTGAGAGAAAGGTTAGCGCGTCGACGTAACAACCCTTTTTGATGCCCTTTGCATAATCTTTTCTCTTTACTCCAATCGAAAATTTCCTTTTTCCCTTGTATCATCATTTTTTTGTATGCTTTGACATATGGTCATGTCGCACATTGCAAACCAGCAATCTTCCGATGCATCGCGTACATTATAACACAAACACACATACACACAAACGCATTTAATTAAAAATTCTCTCCCCTCCCCATTATCGTCGTCGTCGTTGTTAACCCATATTAAAAACACTTAAAATACAACACAAACACGCATGCTAATCTTTTTTTCATTCATCCTATCCTCTAATCGTTTAGATTCAACACCACAATATTAGCATATGGGTAAGAGTTGGTTTAATTTATCGCCTATTTGTTTCCCTAGAAAGGAAGAGCAACATATCGATTAAACCCTAATTCTTTTTCTATCATTTAGGCAAACCGGAAGTGGTAAAACATATAGTATGGGCACTGCACTGGACGGTGCAAGTATCGCACCTGAACATCAAGGTAACACGTCATTCTATTTTCGTGCACATACATCTGCTGCGATCTGCACATCGCATCAACCCCTTTTCATAATTTTGCATATGGTCACACATTTAACCTCCATTGTGCATCAACTCGAGAGTAACTAAATTTATTCTTTTCACCTTTTTGGCGCAATTAGGCATAGTTCCACGAGCCATATCGTATCTGTTCCAAGAATTGGAGGCTCGAAAAGCACAAAACCCATCTTTCAAATACGAAGTAGCAGTCTCATTCCTCGAATTATATAACGAAGACTTGATTGACTTATTAAATCCTGCAAGTCACGAACAAAATCATAAAAAAGGAAATAAAAGTGAGACGATACATATCCGTGAAGATTCTAACGGTCGGATATATTGGCTTGGCGTGAAAGAAGTCACTGTTTCCTCTCCCGAAGAATTATTAGGGTAAGTTTTTATACACGCTTGCCGAATTAAATTATCAAAATTAGCATCCTAATTTTCTCTACTTTTTTTTCCTCTTAGACAATTACAAAAAGGTTCAGGATGCCGGACGGTCGCATCAACAGCTATGAACGCAGTCTCTTCACGATCCCATGCAATCTTTACCGTCATCTTACATCAAACACGAGTTGATGATCCGGAGGCTGATAAAGAAAATAATCCAGCACTTGCTTCCGAAGATCAGCCTTCCTCCTCCTCCCCCCCAAAGAAAAGCAAAAAGAAAGCACGCACCACAAAAATCACATCGAAATTTAATTTCGTCGATTTGGCGGGTTCTGAAAGAATGAAGAGAACAAAGGCCACTGGCGATCGAGCGAAAGAAGGAATTGCAATTAACGGTGGTCTCTTAGCGCTAGGCAATGTTATTAGTGCTCTTGGCGATGAATCGAAAAAAGCCATCCATGTACCTTACCGAGACTCGAAATTGACTCGCTTATTACAAGATTCATTGGGTGGAAATAGTCATACATTAATGTTGGCTTGTATTTCACCGGCTGACACGAGTTTTTGCGAATCTTTAAACACACTTAAATATGCCAATCGTGCACGTAACATCAAGAACTTGATCACCGTGAACGAGGAATACGGCGAATCTTCGGCTGAAGTTATCCAACTTCGTCAAAAGATCACCAAACTGGAATCAGAAATCACAAATCTTCGATCGGGTGGAATTGAGGAAACGGTGAAACACGAATATGAGGAACAAATAAAAGAACTGCAAGGTATTGCGGGTCAAGAAAAATTAAAGAGGTGTAAACTTGAAGCCGAAATGCACACTGTTTGTGCTGAAAGAGACGCTTTGAAAGCCGAAGTTAAACTACTCGAAGAAGAATCTGGCTCGTACACGAGAATGCCGCGAACTGGTTTGTCAAGTCCGCGCAAAACTTCACTTAATAATAATAACCACAACGGTACTGGCACATCAAGTCCGCGAAAAACCTCACTAAATAATCATATAACTTTTGCGGACGACTACATGGGTGAGGGGTCAAGAAGCCAGGAACACCATCGGGAGGAAGAACATTACTATAATAATGAACAACATGATGAACAAGTTTCAATACTCCCTGAAAGTTCTCATGATGTCGATAATTATGCAAATCACCGAGAAAATACTGAAACACCACGAAGATTAAGACGTACCGCAAGAGACACCATTGAGCAAGCAAAGGAACAAATAAAACAAGGAATGCTGTTCCTGAAAAATAGCGGATCCAAACCTGAAGATCCTCTCTTAAGTCGATTGATCAATACTCCATCATCAACAAAAAGCGAAAGCTATATCGACCAAATGATCAAACCTGCTCAACATGAGAAACGACGATCCGGAAGCGTTTCATTCAGCGATGTGCAAACGATAGAAGTTCCCGCATGGGAAGAATCTGCCCCACCACAACCTGTCAGACGCTCTTCTGGCTCCAGTCGGTCCGTGAGTTTCTCTGATCAACAAATTTCACCACACTCGACAAAATCATCATCTCAAAATAGTACAAGTAACTCTTCACAGCAACAAAATGCCATAACTCTGCAACGTATGTTGCATCAGATTCAAGCTGATATAGAAGTTAAAGAACAATTGGTATCTCAATTAGAGCGAGCCGAAGAAGAATTTACTACAATGCGCACACATTACGAGAATAGAATAACTGCAATGAATCAATATTACGAGGAACAAATAACTGCGATGAGGGATAATATTGTTAGTTTGGAACGCGAAAGAGATGCAGCTTTGAAACGTTCCGGCGGGGGTTCCATCAGCACTCGCGACAAAGCATCAATAATTTCAGAATTGAAGATGCAATACGAACACAAACTGAAGAAAATGAGCATTGAGCTAGCCGAATTGAACAAGAAATATCACGCGTCAAATCACGCGCATCAACAAACAAAAACGCAAAATGATTCGGCAGCCAAAAACATGAAGAAAGAATTGGAACATCTTAAGGCTGAAAAGATAAGAATGATAAAGACCTTCAAAGATGATGCTGAAAAATTCAAAGAGATGACCGAAAGAAAAGACAGAGAAATCGAGAATCTCCGAAGAAAGGAGAAAATAGCTCAAAAAGAACGAAAACGCATCGAAAGGGCGCATGAGTCGCAAAGACTTGTTCTCGAAAAACGAAACCGCGAAGTCCTGCAAATCAATAATAAACTAAAAGCTGTTATGCTTTTATTAAAACGCACTTCCACACCAAAGGCTATCGCAAAAGTATTTCGAGGAAAACGACCAAACAAGGTCGTCCCTGTTCCCAAAGATGATATTCATGCAGAATTATTTGCAATTGGCGTACAAAAGCGAAAGAGTATTGATCAAGCATTAGATCAATTTATATTTAACAGAGAGTCATCGAACTTGCTCGATGAATTATATCGAAAGAAGGAAGAACTTGTACATAAACAACAAGCATTACGAAATGAAAGGGAAGAGATTGACCGAGTATATTTTGAAACTTACGGAAATCTCGATTTAGTTGCGGGAGATGAACGAGCTTCAAAATTGGATGAGGAGATTGAAATGCTTCAACATGAAATCACCTTTACCGCTTCACAAATTCGAGCCATTCAAAATGAAACTGTCAACTATAAGCCTGAGGGAATCAATTACGAAAACGGTTTCGAGGCTGCAATAAAAATCATGAAGGACCTCGATCCATTTGAACAACAAACCTTGCTCGAGTCATATTTGGGAGATGTTGTTGAACTTCGTAAGAAAGAATGGTCATATAGGGTAAAGGAACAACACCACGAAAAAATCATCACTGAATTAAGAAAAAAACTACTACTCATGCGAAACGCCGGAAAGATGACCGCCTTTACATATGAAGAAAAAATCAAAAATCTTGAAGAGGATCTCGGAACTAGACTCGAAGACGGAGTTTATACCACGCATCTTGTGTTTGATAAGATATATCAATCCACCTTCGAAACCAATAAAATTTTAGGTGACACCCTAACCGACAGTCCAATGCCATCACCTGCTGAACGAACCTCGCAACGACCATCACTTCCTCAAGAATGGATGACCTCGCAAGAAAATGGTCAATCAACAAGAAAATTGGAACAAGAGGCTGGTGTTGATTTCGATAATCGTCGAGTATTAAGATTAAAACGCGAAAGCCAAATCTTTGATAGAGAGCGTCGTGATTCAAGCGCAAGTGAAAGAGACATAAGTGAAACAAACAGCCGACGAAACTCTGGCACTTTCAGTGAAAAAGAAATGTCTGTTGATCCAAACAAAAAGAAACGTCGTAGTTCTATCATCCACCGAGATTCTGGATACTTTAGCGGTGTATAAATATAATCATCATTATAAGCAATTTATCCATTATTAATATCTTTTAGAATTACGATAGATCCCTAGAAAATTTAAATAGAAATAATAATTTGTAATAATAGTTATATATAGCTTCCTTATAAATCCTCGTGTTATATATTTTCATTTTCATTTTACTTTTCATAATAAGTGTTTTCTTATACAAAAAAATCTGTAAATATTAAAAAATGACATCATCAAAAAAACGTAATCAAATAAAAAAATCCAATTTTTCTGAATAAAAAGAAATAATTGTCATTGCGAGTCGATATGAATGTGTAGAAATTTAAATGTCTTAAAATATATAACTTGCTTAAATCTTCATTTACGTGTCTAAGTATCTTGAGTCGCGCATACGACCGATCAACGCGTTTTAGGTATCAAATTTAAAAGTATAACTAGAAATCTTAAAATAAAAAATCATATCCAAGTCTCAAAATACGATGTAAAAAAAAAAAATAGGCAATACGGAGTAATAATTAAATTTTCTCTCCATTGTTGCCGGAATTAGTAGTAGCATTATGAATTATTTATATTATTAAGGTTAGGTGGCTGTGTTAATTCTTTACATATTTAATTTTATGTTTTTTTTTTTATTTTTCCGTGTGATTTTTTTTTTCGCGCGTGAGCAAATAATGAAGATGAATAACAATTGCCTTTTTTTGGTGCTTTGCTTTTATGAATTCTCTTCAACGTCAACTTCACACGTTTACGTTTTCTATAATGATAACGATAATTTTAAAGATCTATTGTTTCTTTTTTACACGTTTTTTTTTAATTGTTAATATAAATAGCACGTTAATGTGATTTAAACGAGAGGTGATATTAATATTCGGGTATATCGATGACGTAGATTATTATCCAAATGTATTTCATGTTTTATTATGGAAATCAAAGGTTGTGTGGTCAGAGCGAGAAATTTAAAGTTTCGGACAACAATAACACACGGCACGGACACTTTTTTCATAAAACAATAATGATAATAAGGTAAAAAGGTAGGTTAGGTAGGTTTCACATTATCTATTATTTCCTATTTAGCTGTTGTTAGTTTATCTAATAAGCGAATGTTATAGGATTAATCATATGCATGAAATAGTTTTATCGCACAAAGAGTCTAATCATAAATTTCACACAACTAACACACACACACACACACACACACACACACACACACACAGAGAGAGAGAGCGACAGACACACAGAGAGAGACACAGACCATCGTGTTTTCAAATTTTTTGAACATCGCGTTCGATTACATGCACAATAAAAGATTAATCATTCTAAATCATTCACTTACATAATAAGCTTATATTTAAATTAAATGAAACCGCCGCCGCCGTATATATATATATATATATATATATATTATTTTCAAGTATTAAATAAGATCATAGTTAATAAGAAATTCATTCAAAACACAGCGTATACAAAAAAATCATAATGACAACCATTGTATTAATTGTGTAAAATTTTTTTAAATAAAAATTTTTTGCATGCATCCCGTCTTTTTTTTTCCTTCTCGCGAAGTTTTTCTATACAATACGATGAATGCATTGTTCTTTTCTATTGAAAAAAAAGAAACTACATCTTTATCTTTTAATGAATATTACGTGATAGAGTAAGCGAACAATGGATGATCGTTTTTTCTCATAATTTTTTCTGCCTTCTTCCTCTATGAGGTAAAAATCAGTGCAGCAGTCATCCTCGTACATCGTATGTAAAGAGAATGGCATTCTTATTGGAAAAAAAAGAAACTACATCTTTAATATTTAAGGGAAAATTACGTGATAGAGAAACAATGATGGATGATCTTTTTTTTCTCATAGTTTTTTTCTGCCTTCTTCCCCTAAGAGGTAAAGGACTGCAGCGGTCATTCTCGTACATCGTATGTAAAGTGAATGGCATTCAAAAAGGGGGGCATAAACTCAAATCGAGATAAAGAAAACCTCCATGTCGATATTTCAACAATATCAGAAATGATAAAGAGGGATTTCCCATACGGTAAAAAAATGTGCGACCCTAACATACGCACATACACTATAAATGTGCGCACACACTATTACACCACGTGGACTAAAAAGTAAAAGTCTGACTAGTTTTGGAAATATTGTAAACAAAAAAATAACTCATAAACCAGACACAATAAAACAATAGGATTGTTACTTCTTTTGTTCTTTGCGGAATTGTGAAAAGAGCAACTTATACCAGTGTGAAATATTTTTGATGGTTTTCTTGAGGTGATTTTTATGGAACCTTTTAAGGTGTTTAATTGAATTGAGCACAGGAATGACTCTGGTCTGTTGAATAGTGTGTGTATGCCTGATCGTTAACGTTAATTTAATTCTATCGTAACAATAATAATAATTGTGATTCGAAAAAGAAATTTAAATTCTTCAACCTTAAATTTATTTGACAGCTATGACGTAAATGGAGATCTTCTTTGATTGGGATTTTCTTTAAATAATTCCTTTTTTTGACATAAAATAAATAATACCCCTTTATTTCATTAACGAGAGGTCATGCAAAATTCTCCACTTTCATTTATTCTGTCAAAACATGGTTAACCATAAAGAAAAACCGTGGTAACGGTCGCCACGGTGAGGCGAGAGCAACATTTCTTCTAGACTCAAAGGAGAGAAAACCGAAAGCGGAAGAAACATCGCTCGCCCATTCCGTATGACCGTCATCTTGGGTAATAATAGTGTTGCTGTATTGTTACATCTCCCCATCCCGGAAAAAAAAGAAAAGGTGGAGAAGGTTAAATATTTGTGTTCGAGGTACTAAACTATCGAGTATTATATATTTTAGTATTAAACGAAAGAATATTCTAGTCAAAAAAAGTACAAACCTATTTCCCCACATCCCACCACGTCCGGACACATCCCACACTATTGATATTTATACTTTCTAGCACTAGTTCAGGTAACATTTGAATTAGACGTGATAAAAAACATACCGAGAAATTACGTGTATATTACATGCTACACGCTCGTTCCCAGACAGAGCCAAATAAATGATTTAATTTTCATGATCAGATGCCTCTGCTAAACCAAATTCGACAGATAATTTCCATATGCATTCAAAACATAGTTGAGAAAGTGCTTTGAGCTATAACGCTGAATTATCATAGTATATAGAATATGTTTCCGATCTTACCAATGTCTTCTATCAAAATGTATTCATCTCATAATTAAGCTCTTTCTGGTAACATTGGGAAAGACTATCGACTCAAGCTTGTACATTTGTTTGACTGAGATTTTTGCGAACGGTCATGTTTAACATGCTTATTACCCAATGTGATATTTTTCTAATAATCAAAAAATCACTACAATAAATAGCATGGAGATAAATCCAGTCATTTAAGAAATCCCGCCCGTATTTTAATTTGGAACTCCCCATACGAAGATGGATCGGATTGGATTTACAAATTAGATCACATGTTCATTGTCCGATCCGCAGATCCAGTCGTATAGCGCTTTTGACCTTATCGACACTAACAAGTGATTTTATATAAGCTCTTTGGTGTTCTTGTAATCTTGTGCAATGTAAAACATGCACCATATAGGGTTGAAGTTCATTCACTATATGTCCGTTTGTTCATAATTTATGCGCGATAGAGTTAAGGATGCAAGAAGTTTTTGTCGCGAAAGTTGTTTCGTAAAGATGAATCTTTCTTAAAAATATATCTTTTTTGTAAACAATTCGAAGTATATTTATACAAAACATACTGATAATGCAAAAATTCTGACAATAATGTCTCAGTTAAACTATGTAATCTGTCAGCCGTGCCAGAAGTTTACTAGATAAAGATTCTTTTTGTCAAATTACGCGACTTGCCCTTAAGATTAATAGTCATTTTGTTTATTGCGGTATCTGAGACTCGCCATCATGCACACCATAGTTCAGTCCCAAACTCATAAAATTTACTTCTGTAAACGCACACACTCTAAATGCACATTTGTCAAATTAGTATCTGTGCTCGGTTTCTTGATCACATGATAACAAACAATAAGAATTCGCAAATCATATATATGCCAGCAACTATTAAAAGGTCGATTTCAGAGGTCAGGGTTAGGGTTAGGACAAAGATGATATGTAAAATTGCCTCATTGATAGTTTAGTCAAGTCAGATTTTGACTTATGTATTTTTTCACATTTTCATTTTTTGTGCATGTGATCAGGAACCCAAGCACAGATTTTATTTTCGCGACCGATTTAATACTATTAAAAATTGATTTTAGATATAATCATTCGTTTTTTGTATTCTCTTCATTTATTATTCGCGCTTCATCAGAATGTGCATAATATATGATTTCCAGAAAAATTGCCGAGGCCATTGGATATATTATCCCCCCCCGACGATTAAGGTCCGGGTACTTTTCACTTAATTTTGATTAATACCCGGGGTATAACCTATATTAAATTTATTACTTTTCATAAATTTTTTATCCAATAGACCCCGGGTATTGTATACGGTGGTGTGAGTTCACACGCTAGCGCTAATAGGTTATCTTATCATCATTGATGAGTATCAAACTCAAGAGATCATAAGTTTTGATTAAAGAGATTAATTTTTTTCTCATCTTATAGTAAGTATATTAAAGTCTTATCTTCTTTTCGCGAGGAGTGTCCTTTGGGATAAAGTATAATATATCGTTAATTAATAAAAGAATAAATAAGTCCAAATACAATTTTTGTCATATAATTAATTCAAACTATTAACCTACTAAATTGAAAACACAAGCAAAAAATGAATCGTCAGGAGCCGCAGTCGGACGAATCAGTAACTTTAACTGTTGGTGGTATCAGGGTAAATTTATTTTTTTGTAATAACTTTTTGGCGTACTTATCGTTAATAAAAATCATGATTTTATAATTTAGTATAATACAACTACGCGCATTCTAGTTAGGTATCCTGACACTTTACTTGGCCGGATGTACAAAGATGATATCTTGAAGAAATTCACAGGCACCAATAATTACACGTTCGGTCGCGACGGTAGAGTATTTCACTATATTCTCGAATTCTACAAAACAGGAAATATTTCCTGGCCTGATGAAGAATCACCAACCGACACCACAAGCAATTACACCAGCACCACTTCTATCACCAACAATAGCGACGACAACTATATTTCAAACAATAACAATAACAATAAAATCACTCGACAACAAATTGAAAAAGAAATGTTATTTTTCGACATCCCTGGTGCACCGGCTCTTACAGAAGAAGAAAAGCTCAACCACTTCGCCTCAATGTTGATTGAAATTGGTCTGAAAATGAAATGGTTTATAATAGAATATCAGAAAAGAATAGCTGATGTTGATGTGATATTTTTCGACGGCAAGTCTGACGAATCTCACCTTGCTTATGGAAGAGCGCGTGCGTATCAATTTCAGGTGGACGGATTTACGTTGTTGACAGGATATCAGAAAGAAATTCAAGATTGTATGAATAAGATTGCGCCAAAGTTGGGAGTTGATCTGGATATTGAAAAGCATCGTGCTACGGTATGCTTAGAATTAAATCGTAAGCATCCTTGAAAACTAATGTGTGCATTGATTTCTTTATAAAGTCTGTAATGAGCATCTTGAATGTATGAAATTTGCAGCACTAATAAGCGAGAGAAATTAACCTTTAGAAAATACCAATAATAAATAAATAATATAATTCATGATGTAAACATATTTTGAAAAAACTTTTTTTTGAATCGGTTTTTATACACTTAGTGAGAAAAAAGTTTGACGAGAACTTCAATACAGAATTTCAAACTAGGCGTTTGCAAAGAAATAATTTGTTTATACACATTTCTTTGATAAGAAGAACCATTATGGCTATTGGCTTTATTCATCTTTGAATAGAAACATTGCAAAAAATCAAGTCTATTATGAACATTTTCATTCCAGCGAAGCAAAAATTTTTTATAATGTTTGCAATTATCCTGTATAATGTGTTCTTTGGAGTGTCTCTAAAAGGCGTGGGTTACTGAGAACACGATGGAACAAAATGAAACTGAAGAATTCTCCCTCGAATTTCACGAGAAATTAAATTCAAGAATTGGAAAATTTTCACTTTTTACGTGAGCGGAGAGCTGATGTAACATTATAAGCGTTCGGCTACTAAAAATATGCGTATTAATATTAATTTTCTACGAATTGATGCAAATAAATTTATTGTTCATATTGAGTTCGGTTCCTCTGCAAATACATGAGTTGAATTTGTATCGAAAATTTAGACGTATAATATAACTTCTCAAAGAAATTGTAATGTACATACAGTAGATTAAATGTTATAAATTTTATATTATTCGTATATATCAATAACTCAACAAAAGTCTATTATAAAACATTATTTCCGACAAAGAAAAATTGTCAAATACTAATCTTTATTTCAATAATAATATTTCTTTCATTTTTCAATCTAAAATTTAAAAATATTATATTAAATTTTTTATAATAAAACAAATACTTACTCTTATCTATTTATATAAAACTTATTAATTATAAATTAATTAAATTAATTGGACTTTTTATATATAATAAATACTTTTTTATTGGTAATAAAATATTCATAAAGTTAATTATATACTTTATAAAAAAATCATACAAAATATATAACTAATTAAAAATAAGATAATTAATACTAAAAAATCAAATTATATTATTATATATAATCTTTAAAAAATTCTAATTGCTTATTAAACTAATATTACATTCGTAAAAAGAAATATTTTATATTTTTAATTAGTTCTTGAACAGTTTGAATAATTTAAATAAAAAAATTATTAGTAATTTAATTATATAAATATTTATAAAGCTTATTAAAAACTACAGTAGTGACCAAAATTAATGATCAAGGACTAAATTTATTAATAAAACATAATGAAAATTGAAATTTTCTCTCTATATTAAAATTTATAATTTTATTAAGAAATAATTTTTATTTTTATATTAAA